CACCAGGAAGTAGAGGAATACCCCTGTGTTAAAAATGAAGAAACGGAGGCAAAGAGAGGTTAAGTCATTTGTCCAGAGTTGATCTGCTAGGTAGTAGAACTTCGGTCCCTGACTCCAAAGCCATTGTCCCTTCCACGACACTATCCTTGGCATTTTCTAAAAGCATCCCAATTAAATGGCCAAGTGCCCACAGACGTGCAGACATGAGAGCACTGGGAATTTAAAGGCTTCCAGAACTGTGCCCTTGGAGTTTAGGCAAGTACTGTGCCCTTGGAGTTTAGGGCCAAAACAGAGTCCACTGTTGGGTCCTGGCAACTCCTTTCCCACCCCACTTATGCTTGTCCAAAGCCTCAGACCGCAGGCTTAGCAGTCACCAGCAGACAAGTGGGCTCTCACCTTAAAAAGAATGAAAACTGTTCACCCACCTGGACAATCAGACAGATGGGTGTTGTCTTAGGTCAACTTCTTACAGGCAGAGCTTGAGACAAGGATTTGGGGCACATGGTGTGTCAGAGAGCAACTTGACAGAGAGAGGTATGCAGGAAGAATCCCAAAGTAAAGTCCAGCCTTGGCCAGATACACAGTGGCCTCTAGAATAGAAATTACACCATAGAGTAGAGAAGGAGCCCTGTTGGCTTTGTGGTTAAGTGTTGGGCTGCGGCCTGAAAGGTCAGCAGTTCAAAACCACCAGCCACTCTGAGGGAGAAAGATGAGACTTTCTACTCCTGGAAAAGGTTATAGTCTCAGGCACGCACATGGGGTTGTTCTACCCTGTTCTGTAGCGCTACCCTGAGTCAGAATTGACTCTCGGGCAGTGAGGCTTTTGTGTTTGTTTTATTTTGAGGAGAGGTGAGGTGAGGCTTCTGTGTCCTGTATCAATACATCTGTTGATTATGGCTCACCTCAGGCTCCAGTTCAGGGTAGCTTCCATGAAGAGGGTAACTGTGATCTACTAGTAGCCAATACCCCAGCAGCAACAGCTGGGGGGCACCAGCCCAGGAAAGAGGACCGGGTGGGTGGGACACCAATGGCATGGACCACAAAGGTACGTGGCCAATGAGAGGGCATGATGGTTCATGATGGTTCATGGGTCCCTACCCCGGAGCTGGGAAGGCTGGTGGAACTGCAGCCAGTACAGCGCATGAAAGAATTCTAGTCTTTTGAGGGGTTGCCTTTTTATTTCCCTTAGAAAAATTACAAAGGAAGATGTTACCCATTGGGAGCAGTCCTTAGACAACCCCGGCGGCTTCTGTGACTAACTTGACTTAGCCAGCTGCTCCCAAGGCTCTCAGGCAGGCACTCAGCAAACCCTTCACGAGTAACAAGCTCACAATCGGTGTCTGAGCCAAAGACCCGGAGATAAACAGAACCCGTTTGCTCTGGAAGAAAGCACAGTCCCATCAGGGAGAGAGAATCCTTGATAGGGAGACACAGCGTAGGGGGGAGGGGGTGCGTGAGGGCTCTAATATGAGCTTCCAAGGGCTGAGATGTGTTGGAGGCTGGAGTGGAAAAGTCCAAGTGTCCTCCGCTTCCACTCCAGCTTGTCCATCACGTCTGTAATCCAGGGCTTTATTCTCCCCAGCCTGGGCTCCTGCAGCAGCCGCTCCACAGGGCTCTGGCCCTGCCCCGGGCTGAGTGTGCATGGCCTTGAGGCAGTCTGAGCCCTTGGTGATGCATGGAGGAGATGGAGCGATGGGGCACCGTGATGGGTCAGGGGGAGCTCTGCGTGTGTTCTTAGCTGGAGAGGCCTGACCCCATTAGGGGCTTTGGAATGGGACTGTACACAGACTCCGTCCAAGTGTGAAGGACCTTCAGTGCCCTCATGAAGGTAACTAGTTCTCCTGGTTTTCCCACACTATCCCGGTTGAAACGCCCAGTGCTCCGTGTTGTGGGATACCCCCTCGTCCCAAGCAAATTGAGATCATTGATGCGTCTAAGGCCCATGGCAGGCATTGAGTGCTAGCTGACCCAGATG